AATGCTGGTGGTATCTCTTTGCTCACTCTTGTTACATGATAAAAAGTAGAAAATAACCTGAAGTCTGTTAATTTTGCAGAAGCATAAGAGCAACTGTGATTTTGACCCAGAAAACATTCTAGTCAAAGAATGATTAAGAAGATGCAACATTTAGGTGGAAAATGACTGGGGATTTACAGCAGGTTGTGAGCTTGGATGCCAAGTCAAAAAAATCACACCAGCACATGTTAACAGGAAAGTAAGAGTGAGACATGCTCACTCATTTGAGTGAGCATGTCCCATTGTAGGCAAAGTGCTTGAAGGACCATACAGAACAACTTCAGAAAGTTCATGAATATTCTTGCAGGAAAGACTGGATGAAGAGGGTTGTTCAGTTGACAGAATAGTCTGAGGGAAGACATTAAAACATTCAAACACTTAAAAGGATGCTGAAAAGAGGAATTAAATAGATTCTTCTCACATGAACAATAGGAAGCATTAAGCTTAAATACTAGCAAGGGAGAGTTCAGGGAGTAAGGCAATAATCTGTGGACAGAACGGGATCTACAGTTCTGAGGGTTCAAGGGAAAGATCTTGTACAAGAACACCTATGCTTTTCAGAAGGCATTGAACAGCCTCTCAGTGCTGTATTTTGTGATTCGACACAGATGATACAGGTATCATTGCTTAGTGAAACTCAATGAATTGGTAAAACAGCTACAGAAGCCACTCTTGAGATACTATTTTTGTATTCTACACTTTCGTCTTTCATTTTGTCACTTTTTGCACTAGAAAGAGAGGAAGGACTTGACAGTAGAATCAGAGTTGCTGCCTGTCAACCTCACTGTATCCCCACCTTTGGCAGTAGTTTGTGTGTGCTCAGGCAAGGCCAGAGAGGTATAGAGAATCAACGATGAAATAAACATAATTCATTGTGGAAAGAGATTAATGGAATCAGCCACCAAAGGGCTGACCTGGCCCAGCCAAGCTTTAAACCAGGGCAAATATTGCAGCCTTGCTAATTTGGTAACAGGTAATCGGAACGTGGAACAGGAAAGCTTTAGTAAGGGACTTAGAAGTCCTGGAGTATCCAGAACAACCTCCAGAACAACCTCTGTGTATGTTCTCCAAGCATGGTACCAGAAGGTCCTGTCTGGGAAAGGGGAGGAGGATTAGGCACAAATTTCAGTGAATCTGTCTTGAGACAGCTGTACTCCTCCTCTTCACTAGTGTCGGAAAGAAAGAGTCTCTTGGATGTAGTTGTAGGATTAGACCTGCCATAGGATGGAACATGTACTTAAGTTTGTTTTGAAGATGCTTCTGAATGGACATTCAGAAAGAACAAAAAAAAAATGTCACATTCTTTCTGAATGTCCATTCAGAAAGAGAAACAGGTGACTAAATTTGTCATAAATCTTTAAATCTTCCTGTCAATTTAAGTAGAGGGAAATCAAAACTCTGGCTATGCTTTTGAAAATAGGAAGTTAAGGTGAAACAATTATAAATGGCAGGAGCTGCTGTGTTTAGAGGGAGAGAACAATTTTGGGTTGGGTAGGAGCTGAGCAGGAACCAGCGAGTGGAGTACGTCATGGAAAAGTGGAAATTTTGCATCTGATTGAGGGAATTCATGGAGAGGTTTTTGCAGGCTGAATAGTTTTAGCAGCAATTCTGCTACCACAGATGGCCTGTGGGACAAGAGAGCTTGTGGCACTGCCAAAAACTGTCACATTTTTTTTCACTCAGCACATACCACCATACTCTGAGGGGTACTTTATAAGCCTGGTGACATTTGGACTATTTGTTGTTATTGTTGCTGTTTTCCCCTTACAACAGTCCTTATCTGTGTGCTGCTGTAGCTTTTTCCTAAGTGCATTTTATAAACAATTTACAGACAAGAGCATCTAGCATCAAATGTACATGTGTACATGTCCTTCAGCCCTGTTATTGTGAAGCTGTATTGTATTTTATAAACGTCCTATGTGAGACCAATGCCGCAGTTTATAACAAAGGGAAGCTCCCAGGTCTCAAGACAAAAAACACTCCTAGTTCACTCCTCAGATCTTTCAGGTCAAAGTATATCTTCTGCCTGTCTCCCTTCTGAAAATACGTACAACAGGTTTAAGGGGCAATGAATCTTCCTGCCAATAAACTGTTATTTTTTAATACTTGTTACAGAGCAGTCTACAAATTTGTCCCACAAGGTAATTCAGGAGCAACCAGACTGTTCATTTCTGAATGATGAGTGCTGGAAATTGAAGTTTATAGAAAGCCGTACTAAGCGTGAAACAATTTGAATCTGTTGTGGCAATGGCTAGAAGAATTGTTCGGCTGTATACACACCACACCTAAGCAGCTAATGAATTAACTCTATGATCTACAGCTTGACAGATAAGAGAGGTGGTAAGAAGAGTACAGTTCATATACCAAGGAAGCATAGTGAATCTCATCATTGTCCCCTCCAGGATGCAAATTGTGTATCTAAACTGACACTGCGCTAAGCACTCACTTTTCTGGATATGTACAAAGAGGGATAGCCTGTAGTCTTCAGACACAAACAGTCTGCATTATGGGAGAACTATTTTTCGTTCTTGATAAGTCTGGCACAAACTGCTTTGAATCAAGAAACAGAAAGGGGAAATCATTTTTGCTTCCTTGAACATGGTGTTTCATGGTAGCTCTTTGAAATTCTGGAGACTGAAGACTTGCTTCAGTCTGGCTGAAAAATGTCCCAAGCAATCATCAATACAACTATGTCACAGTGTGCCCCAAAACAACACTTGAGGATCTTGTTCCCTCAAGTGGCACTGAAATTCAATGAAATTTTGCATTACTTTCTGGAGGAGTAGGAGAAGGCCTCAAACATGTATTGCTAGGCACCAGGATAATGAATGTGAGAAATGAAGCATCAAACCAGGAAGTAAGATTTATGGAAGAAGGAAACATAGAAAAAAAAAAAAAAATAGTAAGGGAAGACACATTACTGTAGTCTAGGGTCAGTATCATGACAGAGATGAGTTTGTCCCAGAACTTAATTTTGAAATTGCTTTGTTGTTTTTGTTTGTTTGTTTTTGGTAGGGGAAAGAGAATCTAACTACTTGAAGGGTCCTTTCTTCGTTTATTTCACCTGAAGAGTTAACTACGAAGCAAACTATATTCTTCATACATGTTACTTTACTTATTTGGACATGTCCATAGGAACTGATAACCAGAATCTGCCTAATGCCGCTTCTATCATTAAAGAATTTAACGTCCAGTAGTCACCACATGCATTGAGTGTTTAGTTCCTGCTCTGACAGTTTTCCTTGAAAACTGATTTAGTAATTTCCAGATCAACACATTGCAATAAAAAAATAGAGAAAAAAAAACATAATAGAAAAGTGGATGTCTCTTCCATAGGGAATGTTTGCATACTCATAAGATATTTATATATATAAAAGATATACACCAGATATTTTGTCTTCCATAACATTTACATGGTTCCTTGCAAGACCTTCAATTTTTGTGATTCATGCTTCTATTTTATTCTAGAAGCCAGATACTTGGTACACTTAAACTTTCATTAATACATGAAGGACGTCTTTTTGTCATTTCTGCAGGATGTTGTACCACAGTATTCCTATCTATTGTGTAGCTTACTTTGTCTTTTCATAATAAGAGGGAGCAAACTAATGTAAGTGTCATTTAGAAATGGCTGAGAAGTATACACACATGCTGAAAAAAATAAGATTATGTTCAGTATTGTTTCTAAAAGTTAAAAAAAAAAAAAAAAAACCAACAAACCCCACCATCACCAAACTTTGACTATTATGTTTCTTGATTTATAATTCTGAAATAAAAGTTTTCTAGGGAGAGTTTGCTCTCTTTCTTTTTTCCAGAGTAGACCCCTTGTCTTTCATTCTCTATGTATTCGCAATGGAACAACTTTTTTTTTTTTTTTTTTAAAAAAAAAGTGCCATAAAAGATACAAATCACCTTGTTCTTACTGAGCTGAGAAAAGGTCTTGATTATATCCATGGACAAATCTGCCTTAGAACTGCCTTATTTTACCTGGGGAGTAGGTTTCTGCTGAACTGCCATGAGGAAACTTTGCTATTAATGAAGAGAACAACTCTAAAGTTTACATCTCTTGGAAGAGGTTAACTGTAGGGGATTTAGCAGTGACAGCAAAATTCAAGAAAGGCACTTCCTCAGGTGAGCTCAGATTTTATAACTGCACATGAACTGTTCCCATGAGAACCATATTCACAGTAATGCAGGTGTAGTAAATCCTCTTTGATCCACAGATATCGAGGTTATTCATAAAATGGATGTTGATATACATATTTGGCAGAGGACAAAGGAAACTCCCCAAGTTAATCTGCCCCTTACAGTTTTCAACTGTACTCTACATCCAAGATCAATTTAGTTCCTTATAGAACAGCACAAATGCTAGAGGTTAAGTATTCCCATATTTATTGAAGGCTGAAGCAGTAAAACAAAATGTAAACCGAGGACAGTTATTTTCTCTAAGAGCAGTATGTCAACAACTGGACTATTAAAACAATCTTAAAAGATGGCTCTTGTTATCCACCCAGTGCACAAATTGGTAAGGATGTTTGGTGAAGAAATACAACAATCTTTACATTATGTCAGCCGAAGCAAATGATTTTTTTTTTTTACTTTACATAAACCAAAAATCTGGTTTTATAGCTTTCAGTTATAGCTAGTGGAGGCAATACTTCCTAATGCCTATTCCACATCACTGCCCCACAAACACCTAACTCTGTAAAGTATTTAGATATTTGTGTCCTAAGACACAAATGAAGCTGTGCTCTCCCTAGGACTATTTATTTAATTGTGGAATATTGTGTTTAATAAGAACATTGTGAAACTAGCTTTAATTCTCTTATGAGTTCACCTTTTTCATGTTAATACAGACATTTCAGGGAGTGTGATTATCTCTCAGGGAATAATGGGTTTGTGAATAATGTGTCTGTTCCATTACTGCAGTGCTTGGTAAAAGAGAACAGAAGATCATGTGCACTGAGAAAGTGAAAAACATAACTACACTGATCTGTCAGAAGCATGATTTAGGGAACAAGAGAAGTGGTAAATGCAAGACTGGAAACTTTTTCATGGTGAACTACAGGTATACAAAATTCTTCTTAAAAGTAACTTGAGTACGAACAGAAAAAGGGCCCTTCATAGAACAGGGTTTTTCTTTAATGTGAATGCACGCTATGAATATTGACTTAAAAAACACTAACTAAAAAAAATAAAATAAAAAATAATTTTAAAAAAAAAGATCAAAATGAAGAATCCATTTGCACTATCCAGAATATAACTGTGTGATTCAATCCAGAATTTGCAGGAAGCTACAGAGAACATCTGTTAGGCATGACTTTCTGAAGAATAGCTAAAACTATTTGATTTAGGCCAGAATCCAGGCAAAAACAAAAACTTTTGCTCCTTTAAAGGAAAATTGTTCTAGTAATGGAATCCATTCAAAGAACATTGTTGAGCTGTCTCTCAGTAGGGGAAAAGAGTCTTCATTTTTGGAAGATGATGATTTTCCTGTCACTGTTTTAAGGGGATACTTGAAATAAACTTAAGTTAAAGGCTCTCTCCACAGCAGTACCAGAGTGTCATTGTACAACTGGAGTTCCTGTATAAAATGTAAATGACAAAGCAGTAGTCAAAATCATCACTCAGGTGAACAAAGCCTGACTTCATGTTTCAATACATGTAACTCTATGAAATAGTTGTTTATTGCTTCTGAGTAAAATAAAGCTTGTTTTTGTCAGCTGTGAAAGAATATAAGCAATGGCTTGTTAAGGTGTGCAAATATTTATCAGTAATTCCCTAGTGATATGTAATGATTTTTGCATGAGAGCTGTGAAATGATGAGATCTTCTTGGTTGATTTCACATGTTATTGGCAAAATGTGCACTTAAATTAATGCTTCATTGATAGTGTTGAACTATCAAATTTAGTTAGCAGGAAAGAGTTCACTTGTGTGCTCTCAACTTGTGCTAGCTGAACCTGTTTACTCTAAAATATTGAGAAGTAAGGATCAACTTGGACTTCCTCTGAAGACAGTGAACAATGAAAAAAATCAAGCCAACGTGTATAATGTCTAGAGATAATTTAAGCATTCTTCAGCAGAAAGATTATAAATAACCACCATTAGATAACATAATGTTTCAATTACTGCAATAATTGAACATAAAGGTGCCATTTACACATGGTGACAGGCATACATGGTTGTTTCAAACTGATGTGCAGGTTAGCTCTACCACACTGCTCTCTCACTCTCCCTCTTCAGAAAATCGGGCAGAGAAAATATGATGAAAAATCTCATGGTTTGAGGTAAGGACAGGGAGATCACTCACCAATTACCACCACAGGCAAAACAAACTCGGTGGATAGAGACTAATGTAATTTACTGCAGACTAGAACAGTAAAAGAATACAAGCTAAAAACACTTCCCCTCATCACAGAATCAAAAAATGAATCATAGAATGGCTCAGCTTGGAAGGGACCTTGAAGGTCATCTAACTCCAACCCCTCCCTCCTCCTCCTCCTCCCCCCCCCCCCCCCCCCACACCCCCAGTATAGGAAGTGATGCCACCCAGTAAATTAGGTTGACCAAGGACTCATCCAGCCTGGCATTGAATGGCTCTATGGATAGGGCATCTACAGCTTCTCTGGAAAACCTCACTACCCTTACAGCAAAGGATTTCCTTCTAATGTCAAGTCTAAATCTATCCTCTTTTAGTTTAAGACCATTTCCTTTTGTACTATAATTATCTATAGAATCAAAGAGTCCACTCTGTTCTACCTCCTTCCCCAGAGCAGCACAAGGAAATGGGGGCTGCAGTCAGTCCCTGACTCTTGGTTTCTGCTGCTCTGTCACAGTCACTCTCTGTCCCTGCTCCAAGTGGGGTCCCTCCCACAGGATGCCGTCCTTCCCAAACTGAGCCTGCAGGGGCTGCCCACAGGCAGCAGCTCTTCAGGAACTGCTCCCACACAGCTCTGTACCGCAGGGTCCATCCATCCCCCAGGAGCAAACTGCCCCTGCACGGGTCCCCCACAGGCGGCAGCTCCCCCCAGACCCCCTGCTCCTGCGTGGGCTCCTCTCCATGGGCTGCAGCTCTGGCCCGGGGCCTGCTCCTGCGGGGGCTCTCCATGGGCCGCAGCCTCCTCCAGGCCACATCCACCTGCTCCACCGGGGGCTCCTCCACCCATGGGGGGGGGCTTCAGCGTGGAGATCTGCTACAGGGGGACAGCCTGCTCCACCAGGGAACTCTCCACAGGGGAGCTTTGGCTGTGTGCCTCCTGCTGCACTCACCTTAGGGGGCTGCAGGGCTGACTCTTGTATTTCTCACTGTTCTCTCCCAGCTGCTGTTTTTTTCCCCTTTCTTCAATCTGCTCTCCCAGAGGCTCAACCAGCATCACTCGTAGCCCAGCTCTGGCCAGCAGTGAGTCCTTTTAGGAGCTGGCTCTGATCTGATGTGGGACAGCTGCTGGGCTCTGATCACAGAAGCCAGCTGTGCAGCCTCTCCCTTAAAAAAAAAAAAAACAACAAAAAAAAAACAAAAAAAACTTGTTATTTAAACCCAATAAAACATAGCAAGTATTTTTCTATCCCATAATCATTATTTAATCATTTAATACCATTTTAAAGGAATTTAAAATAACTGTAGGTTGTAAGAAATTTCCTTCAGCCCTGATTTACAGAGATGACTAGAAGAAATAGTTTATATTTTTAGAAAGTGTTTGTTTACTGCCTATCTGTAAAGAGAAAGAAAACAGAAATGTTAGCATGGTTTTTCAGGGCCAAAGTCTCAGCAGGTGTTAATCCCTCAGAGAAGTAAATCTTATTTGCACCAGTTGGAAGTCTTCTTGATTGCAAGGACAATTAAAAATCAAGTCATGGAAGACTCTTCTTTCATAGTGCATGAGATATGCAGAAAAAAGAAACTTTGAAAGCCAAGTATAATCAAAATGTCACAGTCCATTGCAGGGTGATGAGAAGGGGAATAATGGGAAAAGTTGCACTGTTCACCCCACTCTGCTGGAAATCACATTTGACCTTGGTTATTTATCATCTCTGCATCTGTGGCTTTCTAAGTATACTGAAACTGTTTTTCCCATGTTGTAGAGCTCCTGGGTGAAATATTTGAATATACAGAACACATCTAGCTGAGAAGAGACATTGTGAGAGTTTGCTGGTTCCATTGAATGGAAACATAAAGAAAACATATTTGAGAAAAAGTATGTGGAGCTTTGATTTTTTTTTCTTTTTCTTTAAAGTAGTCTGTGCTTATTCCAAACATCATAAAATTTGACTATAAATCTCTTTTTACATTCAGATTCCAAATATAATAAGTTGTAATGTTTGTTCTTTAAAATAGGTCAGTAATATAGACAATTAGTTTTTCACTTTTTGTTCTTTAGGAACTAGACTACAGGAATTTATGTTTGGTTTCCAGAGTTGATGAAAAATTTGCAATAAAAGTATGCTCAGATCCCTCTAAAATACAGAATACTAACCTTTAAAGAAAACAAACAAATAAACAAACAACAAAAATTTTCCCCTTTCAAAGTGAAAAAAAAAATGGACTTTAGAATCACAGCACTATGAACCCAAGTGTGAAGGAAGCGTGGTTAGGAAGCCACCATTCCAATCTACTGCTCATTTAATCTTTGAATGTCCCCTATGATGGGGATCCCAATACTGGTCTCTGAGATTTTCTTTCCTTAACTTCCTTGTTTGATTGCCCGAGCTCTCCATTGGACACAGACCCCCTGCTCCTGCGTGGGCTCCTCTCCACAGGCTGCAGCTCCAGCCCGGGGCCTGCTCCTGCAGGGGCTCTCCATGGGCCGCAGCCTCCTCCAGGCCACATCCACCTGCTCCACCAGGGGCTCCTCCACCCATGGGGGGGCTGCAGCGTGGAGATCTGCTCCATGTGGGACCCATGGGCTGCAGGGGGACAGCCTGCTCCACCGGGGGTCTCTGCACAGGCTGCAGGGGAACTTGTGCTGCATGCCCGGAGCACCTCCTGCCCACCTGGAGCACCTCCTGCCCACCTGGAGCACCTCCTGCCCTCCTGCTACACTCACCTTGGGGTCTGCAGGGCTGCTTTTCACTCCTTGCTCTCCAAGCTGCAGTTGTACATTGGTTGTTTACTCCTTCCTTCCTTCCTTCCTTCCTTCCTTTCTGCCTCCCTCCCTTTTCCCCTCCCATTCTTAAATCTGCTCTCACAGAGGTGCAAACAACATTGTTTATTGGCTTGGCTCTGCCCAAAAACAGGTCCCTTTGAAACTGGCTGAAACTTGCCTTTATTTAATTTGGGTAACAGCTGCTGGGCTTTTCTCACAGAAGCCACACCTCCTGCTGCCAGAATCTTGCCTAGTAATACCGATACATGTAGCTAGATCCAGCCCCACAAACAGAGCAGAATAATCACATCCATTAACCTGCTTGGCTGTGCATTCCCAGGGGAGGACTTTGAATTTTTCCTTTCTGAGATGTGTGAGGCCCCATCAGCCCTTTCCTCCACTACCCAGTTCTGGTAAGCTGTCCAGTCCCTGGGTGTACAGGCTGATGTTCACATTGCATGCTTGTGTGTGACAAGTCAGAGGAGGAAATACCATGAAGACTGAATGATGTGATTTATCTAGTACCAAAATATTTGCTACCAGCCTTGTTCTCACACAGAAATGCCTGACTACAGGCATTTAGTTATTTATTTATTTATTTTACTCAGCAGTAGGTAGATTAATCATAGTATGGTAAATCTTACACAAGTGAAAAAACACTGCACTTGAAGCCAAATAGACTGATCTCCAGTTAATATAACCGATAAAAGTAATGCAAGCCTGAAAATTAGTAGAAAAGCGTACCTTTTTGAAAATATCACCATAAAATGAAATACTATATATTTCACAATTCCTTTGATTTTTTTTAAATGAGTGACTACAATATTCTCTGTAATTCCCTCCAAAACTACACAGAGAAAATAAAATCAATAATTCAATACAAATAATTGCCTATTTGTAATACTGTTTTGCAGTGCCTAAATTATTGTCATTTCCTTGTTGAGTTATATTTAAGAAGTGGTGTCCTTTCAATTAAAATTTATTTCAGAGAAAGAGAGAAGAAAATGACAGAAATTGTTTTGTACATGTTCATGACATGTAGTTCCTGGAACTGATCCCACTCTTTCTGAAAGAAAGCAGCAAAATTATCCTTGATTTTAGAAGAATGAAACCACTTCTAAAATTCCTTCTCAGCTTTCAGAAAGGATTTATTTTATGAATTTATGTATTATACTGTTTTGGTTTGTTTTCAAAAAAAAATAAGGGAAACCTTGAAGCACACTGACAATTTTTTTTCTTATTTTTTTTTTCTTTTTAATTTAAAAAAAATATATATATATTAAAAAAAAAAATCTATTCCAACAGGACAGCAGCAGAATATAGGCCACAGGTATTCAGTTTTGGTGAGACAAATACATGTGATATGGTGTCTAATGTCAACATTTTGAAATGAAGATTGCAAGCCTAAACAGGTTATAGACAGAAGTCTCAAAATTCCTAATGGATCCTGATTGTGCAATATAGGATGAAGGAGCAAAATCTCTCCACTTCTTTAAGAGAAAGATCAACAGGTAAAAATGCATTGTAAATAAGCCTTTGAGGGTAGAATCTTAAGGTTACTAAACAACTCTAATCTTAAAGAGAATATTAGTAAGAATCTACGTCTAGGCATAAAGCTAAATGCTTTCAGAATGAACACAACGATTTTCAGAAGTGTAGGTAAACCACTCCAGGGAAAATATATGAAGCAGTCAGTGAATTTTCAATTTTATATTTCAAATACATGTGTGAAAGAGAACAAATACATTTGAGTGGTTTCAGTTCCTAGATTTGCTTCCTAAATAAAGCAGAACATTTTTACTACAATTCCTCTTCTTGCAGTCATTCTCATCCCTACTATTTCATCACAGACTCAGTACTGTGTATAGTCACTATAATAACCATGAGAAGCTGCAGAATTAAAGTTTTTTCATTCATAATCTGCTAGCATTGAGGAAAAAGGAGAGATGACAGATACTTCTCAGGCCACCTTGAGAGCTGCATTCTGCCTGGACTTGTGAGCCTCTGAATATTCTCACCACTATGATCTCTAATTCCTTATGTACATACATGCATATAAATATTTTCAAGTACATATACTCATGTACATACATGCATATAAATATTTTCAAGTACATATACTCAGTAATAGCATCATTCTCTGTGCCCACAGAAACACCCATGCATCTGCAGGAGAGCATTACTCTTAAAGAGCTACAACAAACCTATATCCTTTTTGTGTCAGGTGCTAAACACAAGGTAATGTCTTGAATGAATAAGCTTACAATGCATGCTATTTGGACCCCCATATGGGTAGAATGTCAGTCACAGATATGAACATGTAAGACACTACTGTGCTGACTGAGAGCAGCAAAAAGGAAATTACTGCTCTATAGAAGTAACAGAAGACTTACCTAAGCTACCATCTTTTTACTGCTCTGTTGCTAGAGAGAGGTAGTATTGATCCATTCTTTACTAAAATTAAACTATTTAAGGTCATAGGTTTATTGTTCTCATTAAACAGGTAATGTTTTCCATGCTGTAAGTTTCAGTTCTTTTACTGACACGTGGGGGATACTTGGCTTCCAGATACACTGTGACAGAGCAAGCTTGCATCTTCCTGAGGGAATTAATATAGACACTTTGAATGACAGTTCAGTCCATAGCTATACAAAAATCTAAAATATACAAAAATATATATTTTTTTATTTTTTTCCTAATGTGTTTTGACATAAAGCAGGACTATAAACTCAAAGTAGCAGTAAATAGACAATTTCAGGATTTTAATTTGTCTGTTTGGGATAGCCTAGAGCATAACTATATTCTAACTCTTTTCTCCAAATTTCTAAATTTGATAATAGAATTGCTAGTTACACAGCAGTCTCCACAGAAGGACTCCTGTCAACACCGACATGTTCAGTTAAGAGTGACATTTGCAAGATGATCAACCTTACTTGCTTGACACAAAGCAATTTTTTTTTTATTATTATTTTTTTATAGGAAGAAAACTCATGACTGTGATTATCCTGGTAGACTTTTTGTCCCTTGGGGTTGTCCTATCCCCAGAAGTGTTCAAGGCCAGGTTGGATGGGGCTTTGAGCAATCTAGTCTAGTGGAAGTGTCCCTGCCTGTGGTGGTAGGTTTGGAAATGGATGATCTTTATGGTCCTTTCCAACCCAAACCATTGTATAATTCTATGGAGTCTTTAGGGTAGAATAATGTGTATTGAATCCCTTATTTGAGATAGCTTAGTTTTGTGTCCACATGGTAAAATAATGTTCAACCTCCATGTTCATGATAAGGATGTGAGTTTGATATGGAAAGCATGGTTAGCCCTGCACAAGGATTGTCTGTGGATATTTTTCCTGTGTATTATGGAGAAACTTTCCTGTCTTCCCTGAATGTGCATATCCATTACAGGAAGTTATTAGAAGACCCGTACATAGCAGGCAGGTGTAACTCATTTAATTACATATAAAGAGTGGTATTTTAAACACTCGGCTGGCTCTAGTTTATTCTTCTGTTGCTCCTGGACAAAAAGCCATAGGTTAAATATATTTGCCTGGAAAGCAATTTCCATAAATCACCTAAGTATTTGGAGGAGTAACTTATGGTAAATTAATATGTGTGGGACTTACAAAAATGTTAGAAAAAATGTGTCATTATTAACATTCAATAATTAAGTAAAAAATAACTAAAAATTAATGGCTCAGGTTTTCTGATTCAGATCCTTTTCTATCAGCAAGAGTTTTTGGGAAGGTAAAAATCGAGGTACATGTTTATTGTGTAAATTTGCATCAGACAAATCTATATTGCACACTGAATTTAGCATAGGGTTACTTGGATTCATTGCAAGTAATGGTAAAACTAGGTGTTGACATTTACCCTAATTTAAGGACAGAGGGCAGCAGAGGATTCTGAAGTATACTTTTCTATATCTATTTTTTTCACCCCTCGGGAAATCTGTAAGCCTTACTCTGCAAAATCTTGGATGAAATCTCAGTCCTATAACGCCAACTAGTATTGGTTATGTGTGAAATTTGTGTTTCAAACCTGCTGTGTTAATCTACACATTCAGTCAGAGAAGCATGAATTCCCAAGTACATTAGGAAAGGTGAATTTTTACTTCCCTGCTAAATGCTAGTATTGAAATCTATAACCTCCATAATATTTTGGTAGAGGACCTTGCAAATTTTTGTACTAATTATGGATCACAATAAAACCAGAAAATGACAAGGTGACAAGAAATAAAATTGAAACATTTTCTGTTTTGTGCTAGTAGCATGAATTACTGTAACTTTCAGGATACCATACATGAACTTCTTTGTCATCTCAATTTCATATGCTCTTCTTTTTCAAAAAGGTTTTATAGCAGTTGTATTTATTGCAAATCGCTCTTTTGTATCATTAGTCATCAAATGAAAGCAATTGTCTTTAGTAAATTCATACACCCTAAAAGAATGGAAGCAAATAAAAATTAACAAATCTAGATATAGTTGTCCTCTGTCAGCACAAAATATAGGAATTGCTGTAGTCTTCCATTTCTAATTATAATCAGAATGGTTGAATAAGGATGAGAAATATTTAACTCCATCCTGAGACAGAAAGACAACCCTTTTCTCTGTTCATTTAGATCTTCTCCAGTCTAGAGGTTCTCAATTTTCTAGGGTCACATACTAAATCTCTAACTGTTTTTTATTTTTATGCATATATAACCTATCATTATTGCTACATTTTTTTTCAGTGATTAAATATAATCATGCGGTGGAGAATCCTTTACAGCATACCAGAATTTTTTGAATGTGTTCAGTTGTCTCTGTTGGTATCTCATATGCCTGGCATTTTTCTATCACTTTTAGAGACTAGCTGAAAAACATACCTTCTGTGATAGATGACAGTTCAGGAATTTCTATTGCTCTCCTTAACCTGCCACCCCCCACACACACACTTCCCCCGCCATCCCCCACCCCAGTTCATTTAAATTACTTAATTACTTCAGCAAACTTTGAAAATTTACAGAGGTCAAATGACAGCCACCACTGAGAACTCTTAAAACTTGGGCTTATGTTTGACAGATTTCTTTTCTTCATTGAC